TTACTCACGCGGGCATACGAGTGCACACACATGTGGGCCCATATAGTCTGTGTGTGTGTGTGTGTGTGTGTGTGTGTGTGTGTGTGTGTGTGTGTGTGTGTGTGGAGCAGACCACCAGCTCTGTTCAGGCTGCTTTAACATCATCTGTGGCCTAAAGACTAAACTGGACTGGATGTTGAACTTTATAGGGATTTCAATGTTTACTGGACTGAGTGAGAAGTGTGTGTTAGGTTGTTATTAATTTAGGGCTGTCTAATTCTGAGTTAACCCACATAAACAACATGGAAAGAAGTTTGTAATAATGAGATAATAATGATACTATTCCTTAAATCTTTTAATGAAAATGTTTAAACTTATAATGACTTTATCCTGTTTGGGTTTACATGTGAACACTGGTAAGTTTTGTCTTGTTTTTTTATCGTTTTAGCCACAAAAAAGTTATAAGATTTGTGTCAAATTATGTTAATAACTATTAAATATGCTGTAAATAGTGTCATTAGATATTCCTAGAAAGATTAATGGTGTTGCTCTCTTACCAGATCTTGAGTGAAGTTAAAAGTATAAAGTAGCATAAACTGGAAATACTCAAGTAAAGTACCTTAAAATTAGATTTAAGTGCAGTACTTTAGAAACCGTATAATACTCCGATATAGCTTTAAATGTGCTCTAAAGAACTCAACATTATTATACTACACAGTTTTATATGAAAAGGTTTGACTGTACCACGTGCTAACACAGTAATACGTTAAAACATGGTCCCAAGTGGCCTCAAGGTGGTGCTGCAGTTAAACAGCATCAAATGTCAGAAATCGCTCACCTCAATTTTAAAGTGCTGCTACACTAACAGCAGCTGAAAGTTGTTGTTTTCGCTGCTTTAACCTCCTGCAGTGATGTCGACGTGCACTTGAGGGTGTGGCAGGACGCCGTGACCTCACCGCTGAGTGTGGGTACAGGTGAAAGAGAGGAAATATTCCCGTATTTGGGAAGAATTTAGGGTTAAAAAAACAACAACTTTAGTTTATTTTCTTTCCTTCCACACGCTTTGAAAGTTATTTATTTTACAGATTTTCTACATCGACATTTCCGTGACAACAAGGCCATCTGAGAAACACATTGAATGGACCTTGTGGTGAGATCATTTTACTTTCAAATTTAACACTTTTAATTTAGATTCATTTTAAAAGTAACCTGTTAAAAAAGTAAAATGAATTTAATGATTTGTTGGGGCCACATTTTAGACTAAGTAACAGGCTTAAGTTCAATATAAAAACCACTATTATTGATTCCTGCTGCCACCTTTTCCGTATTTCTATTCAATGCTTTACTAATGTGCCACAATAATAGGATGTTTTTGAGTTCAAATATATTAATTTGGGGCCTTTTTCAAACCATTATTGTTATATGCCATCATGAATATTTCTCTAGATCCGCCCCTGCTCATACTTTACACTCAGTTAATTTAAAAAGAAAGAAACTACAGAACAAAAAGGGGATCTGTGTTAGGCCCCTTTAGGAGCGGCACTGCTCTTAATCAATTAATACTCCTCTTGTACATATTAATGACCTCTCCATCCTGGAGAGTAATTGTTCTGTGCAGGTTCTTTTTTCTATTTCAGCTAAATGGGTGCGTGACACTCCGGCTGGCTGGCTGGCTGGCTGGCGTGATGCGAACCTCCCTCGTGTAAGAAGAAGAAGACACGAGCTCATATATTTCTCTGCCGGCTCGGTCTCAAGCTCAATTACATCATCACACCTTTAGTGCAGGAAACTCCGGAGCCGGCCCACGCGCTCCGCACTCTGCCACTCTTCTCTCTTTCCTCTGTTTCTTTATTTCACTTCTGCTCTCCAGCTCCCCTTGTGTCTCTTCAGCTCTCTCTCTCTTTTAAGCCCACCATCAAAACGGATAAATGAAATAGGAAAGAAGCTTTTTTTTGGGGGGGGTTTCTTTTGATGCACAACACACACACACACACACACACACACACACACACACACACACACACACACAACACACACAATTTCCTACTCCCCTAGGTTAAAGCATCTTGTCTTCCTTTCTGTTTTTTTATTTGTTATGTATGAATCACCCCACATGATTAGAATACAGATGAAATGCGAGTGAGTGCGCGCGCGTCTTCATTGACGCCCTCTCCGTGTCCGACTTCATTCATCTTTCCAGCAAAGCACTATGGGTAATTGAGAGCTGTTACATCATCTTTGCTGTTTTGTTATGCTTTGTAGCAGAAAGCTGGCCCGTCTCACTTCTCTCCCTCTCTCCCTCTCTCTTCTCGTCTTCATCTCACTCTATTTCTGCCACACACACACACACACACACACACACACATACACACACGCACACTCTTTGCTCTCTTTTTATACAGTGATGACAAAGCATGCCAAAGTCAAACTGTATTACATCACTGATGCATTTCACAACACGATGCTCCGTTCTCCTCCTCCTCCTCCTCCTCCAGCCCTCGTCTCCTCTGGGATGAAAGTCACAGGAGGACAGACGTTGAGGAGTTGCGTAACTCCCCTCATATTTGGGGCAGTGGTGCATGGTTACGTCTCGTCGTGATGTAGTGTTACGTAATGTGAAAACTGACTCCTCGTGCAAGGCAAATGTTGTCTGTTAGAGAAAAAGTACGAGGGAATGAGGGGAAATATATATATACGCTGGAGCTGTAAAGATCAGGATAAGCAGGCTGGTGCTGGGTTAAATCCCCATACACACATTGGCTGGAAACATCTCAGCACTGAGAGTGGATGACTAATACTACTCCCACCCCCTCCTCTCCCCTCACACTCACATACACACCTATCCTCCATGAAACAAACCACTGGGTTTCCCTTGAGGAATGATGCTTAAAGGAAAATCCACCTAATAAGGCCAGAGCTCATATTGATATTTACAGTTTTAGCATTATTTACACTGCACGAAATACTAGGTGAGATTAGTCTCAGATTGATTCCTGAGAGTGGAAGCTGGAAATTATATTGTGATGTTTCTTTTCAATATAGCCCAATGCAACAATGTTGTTGTTTTCTGTTGTTTAGTAGCATGCTTTTATTTTCCTGAACATTTCCTGTAGAAAATGTCTGAAAAACAGAAAAGAAAGCAATGAAACCAAAAAGACTTGAGAAACTTCCTTGTAAATGTAAATGATCTCACTCCGTTGGGCAATTTTTCCTCTTCACGCGATGAATCATGGCGCTAAGTGCCACTGATTGTCCTCAAGAGGGCACAGATGAAATAACATCACATCTTAAACACAGCTAACCGTATTGAATGTAATCACATTTAAGGAATACTCTAACTGAACTGATGAGAGCCCAATCTTTTAATATATTAAATACCATGTGAGATATCAGATGGGGACTCAACCAACCTTGTTTTTATTTTACGTCTCTTGAAAAAGCTGCTAAATAAATAAAACCATAATTTAAATGGTTTTCTTTTAACATTATATCTGACTTTTGGCCGCAGACTTTTGGTAAGCAAAACCTTTTTTTATTTACACCATTAATATATGTTTGTGTGTTCTGTACACATAACATCTATTGCATGCCTGTCCATCCTGGAGGAGGGTTGATTTTCCTGAGGTTTTCTTCCACTGTTCTTTTAACTTAAGTTTTTCTTTATCTGAATTGAGGTTAGAGCAGGTATTCTGAGCCTTATGTAACTTAAAGCCCACTTATGATTGTTTAAAATAAAATCCTTCCCAAATAAATGAGAAATGACTAAAACAAACATTATGGTATATTTGCTAGCTCTTTAAATGGCCTTTGATTGCGTTGTGGGTTATGTTTCTGTGGCGTCTGAATCCTTTCTCTTTTCCCCGGATGCTTTGTGTTTCAGAGTTCCTGGAGCTTCAGTGGTTTTAATGCTTTGGAGCTTTTACTGGCTCAGTGTTGTCTCCCACTTTTTCTGTCCAAAAACAATTTTTGTCACTTCATCTGGGGGAGCATTAGCGAGCGAACAATGGCAAAACAATGTTGGTCTCTGCATGCAATGTGTCATGATTGGCATGGTGATATTGAATATTACTAGTCACTGAAATTAGCACATTTTGATATAAAAATAACAAGCTGTGGTGGAAATGTGTTATATAAAGCTATCAAAGTAAACTTTGTCTTTATGTAAGGTTTATTCAGCATCTATAGATGGACTCACAGCAACACTCTCTGAGTGGTGAGAATCGATTCCCCCCCCACCCCACCCCTTTGAATGTACTTACCAGAAAGAGAGAGTCGTCAAGCCAACTGATTCTCTGGATCACGGTGGTGAGCGAGCCCTGGTCCTCAGGCGTCAGGCCCTCACTTCTCTCTGAGATTGAGGTTGGAGTCCCAGACTGTAGCACTGCATAGTCTTAACCTTCAGCCATGCGTGCTGGAAGTCCTCTCACACAAGTGATCCTGCCGACAACGCTGGACTGTGGTGGCAATTTGTTCAATAAAGCAAACAAAGTAAACTTCTTGTCTTTCTGTATTCAGCTATGGACTCAATCTCTAGGTAAGTAAATTACCAAACTTTTTTATTCTTATTTTAATCTAACCATTTGGCGGTACCACTGTCACAAGGTCCACTAGATGGCGGTCTGACCACCAGTGGGCTGCGGCACA